CATGGCCTGGGCCTCTCTGCATGCATCGAAGCAGAGTCAGCGCCTCTGAGGTCCTAAAAAGAGTATTGTGACCCTATGAAAACGTTTATGCTATCAATCGGTGTGATGTAGGTCCATGTTCTATGGAGGACAAGGCTGCTTGGACCAGTGTTGCTCATAATGGAGCAAGGATCAGCCTCCCTGAGGTGAGCAGTGTGCGCATGAAGGAGCAGAGAAGCAGAGGAAGAATAGGAGGAGGATGCTGGGGAGCAATATCCCCTGGGAGCCCTGCTAAAACAAGTTCTAATGGGTGCAATTAAGCTGAATAGTAAAGGGAAGATTTCCCAAGATGTGTTCGAGTTTCCCAAGGGACGCAGTGTGATCCCAGCAGCAAGGTCCCCACCGCTAACACAGGGATGGAAAGGGTGGGAGCTGCATCCCTGCTTTGGGGCAGCGCTCGAGGCTGCAGCGAGCCTGAACCCGCGGCGTGGCACGGGGCCGGTCCGCTTGGGAATGCCAGCGCTGGGATGCGACGGCTGATGCTGCCAGGGTCCGCGTTGTGGCTGGGGCTGGAATCCAGCTGGAAGCTGGACGGAGCAATCCTTTATTAGCAAAATCTGCAGAGTTTCACTGGCTACGAGCAGTGTCTCATTTTGTCGCCTGGCAGAAACACAAATGGCGTTCCTTATCCCCGTGCTAGCCATTCTTGGGGGGGGGAGAAATGGCTCACCTGCTCCATGGCATTCCATGGGATGGATTGTTGCTTCTGGCTGGTGGCTCCTCAGGCCCAATCCTGCCTTTGCTTTTGCTTCCTGGGCAAGTGGATGCAAAGGTGCTGAGCCTGGAGAGCCAGAACTGCTGGGTAGGGTGCCACTTGCACCCAGCCTGCAGAGAGCTGCTCTATATCCCCGCATGGAAGGGGGTGATTCTTGCCTCCATCAGTGCTTTGTGGTCCCCAGGACCTCACGTGTGGCTTCATAAGAGCACTGCAAGCACTGACAGTGCTCCTCCTGCCACAGTCCACCTCCTTTCCTCTCTCCTGTCCGCACTGAAACACAGCCAGCAGCCAAAGGTGCACAGGGATGTGCACGCTCCCGTTTTCAGATTAATCCATGGCAGCACCACAGTTCATAGCTCCTTGTGTTCTGACTTCAGCTTCTCTGAGCTATTTCTGTCCTACTCCCTGCTAACTGGCTGCTGGCATAGCCCTCGAGATGCTCCAGACATGGAGACCTGGTCTGACCATCCATTTCTCCATCATCCAACTGCTCCTTGATGTTCTCAGTCACCCTCCCCCCTGTAACCTGTTATCCCTATTGTACAAGTATCTTATCTTCTGCACCCCTGTTTTCTCTCTTGCTGGGCTCCATGAGCTCTCCGGGAGTGAGAGCGATGCCCACAAACCCACGCCATCCATTCGCCACATCCCCTGGTCCATTGTCTTCCCAAAACCCACCAGGACTTGGCCCTATGCACTGCTGCACCAGCCAACAACCTGGCCTGGCAAAGCCAGCATCCCATGCTGGTGCCATCGCCTGGAGCAGATGGCAGCAGCCGAATGGTCCCTTCCCCATGGCTGACTTTTGGGCTGGGATCACAGTGGCCTCAGTGTGCAGGCAGACAGTGGCATAGGGGCGAGGTGTGGTCATGGCAAAGATAAGGGCTATTTTTAACTTTGATAGATGATGAGAGCTTATTTCCTGACTCAGCTTATGCAGCACAGCACAGCACAGGTCTCCTTCTGCACACGGAGATGGGGACAGGGGGGACATGGGTGTTTTGGGTCATCAAATGGCAACCCTGAGCCTGAAAATGGATGTTGTAGGAGCAGAGATGGGAAAGGAGCAGGGTGTCAGGAGAGTGGAGCTGGTACCCCATTGGTGCAGGTTGGCGTGGCTTGAGTTTGGGGTGTCCTGGCTGTGCTCTGGGATGGATGCTGCATCCATCAGCCTTGGGTCTTTCTCAGCTTGTACTTTCGAGTTCCAGGCATCATACTGTGAGCTACTGTGGGGCTTCCAGCCTGTTTCCACCAGCATCCTGATCTCTCCTGCCGAAAATCCTTGGAGCGAGCAGAGGAGATTCCCATGGGAGCCAAACCCTGCCTTGGCATGGTGGATTTATGAACAACCGTGCACCTTTTTGGGGTTCAACAAAACCGAGTTGCTCCAAATCCCACCCTCTCCAGCTACTGGGCATTGGAGGGGCTGGAGGATGGTGAATCATACCCCTGGGGCTAGGCTGCTCACCATAGGATGGGGAGCTCACCTGGATGGTGGTACCCGGTCCAAGCATCCCCGTGCCGTTGGGAGGATGGGTGACTTAGCACGTTTCCCCAGCCCTGCTCCCCCCATGCTTCCCTCTTGGCCTCTTCCTCCAGGAGCCCTGACACTAATGCAGCGGGAGTGCGGGATTGATGGGCGGCAGCCCTCCAACGGGGCCATCCGTCTTGATTAAATTAGCCCTAATGGCTCTGTGCTGACTCGCTCGCGCAGCCGCGCTGCCGGCATCGGGAAGGGACCTGCTGGAGACCCCACTGGCTCCATCCCCTCCTTTCACCCTCTTGCCCTCCTTCCCTTGCTTTGCTGGATCCTAAGCAAGTGGCTGAGTCTGGCCTGGCTGCAGGGTGAGGGTGGATCCCAACCTGTTTCCCCAGCCAAAAGCCTGCCAGGAACTTGGGGTTCCCAGTGCTGCAGTCCTGCACCCACCCAGAAGCAGGATGATGGGGTGATGCGCTTCCCCATGGCTCTCCCCATCCCCAGGGCCGTGCTGCTCAGAGCTGATGGGGGACCTTCCTGCTTCCCCCAAAGCAAAAGGAACCTTGGGGCTTGCTGGGATGGAAATCCCAGGCTATTTATTAGCATCTCCTGCTGTAAACCAGGGAGTGAGGAGTAAGCCACCAGGACGGCAGGGTGATGGCGACACCAGCCTCACCAGTTCTAGCTGCCCAGCTCCATCCTGCCCTCCCAGCCAGCCCAAGGGCTGCGGCCCCACAGCATGCCCACATCTCCCCCTGTGTTTAAGCCCCACGTATTTCCCACTTGCTGCTTTGCTGCAGCAACACTGAGCTCGAGCAGCTTGAAACTGCTGCCCTGGCAGAGCACTGCGCTGGGGAGGGGGCCAAGACTGGGGATCCTATAGCTGCTCCCACTGCTCTCACCAGTGCCTCTATGCCTTGTCCTGGCCTGTATCCAGCTCCCTGCCCCAGCCCTGCAGCCAATTTCCAGCCTGCCCAGCATGTTAATTATCATTATTGCCGGAGGGAATGGATGGAGCTGGGGGGCCGGAGAAGGGAGCCTGGGGCTGGCACCGCTGCCAGGGACCAAGGGGATTGGGAAAGCTTCCCATGAGTGATGGGCATGGTGGGGTGGAAGGAGAGGAGCCCTCAAAGAGGAGCAAGCCAGGGTGTGAGGGGCTGCCTGATAGGCAGAAGGGAGCAGTGTTTTGGGGTTAGGATGCTGATGACTGCCCCTTGTTCTTTGGGTGGTTGTGACCACCATACCCACCATGCAGGATCTTGTTCCCTGTGATCTGCAAAACCCTAATCCCCACTGGATTCATCCATCAGGACTCAGAACAAGGCCCTGCAGTGCTTTTCACCTGGGGATCGTTGGTTAAAAACAAAAGTGCTTTTATTTGTGTTTTGATTTCACCAAAGTGTTAGTTAAAATTTACTGTGGGGTTGGTGCAATGGGATGAGATGGGGAAACTGGTTTGGAGAGGGGAGAGAAGGCAGCACTGCCAGCATCACCCTGGGATGCTCTGGAGTTCAGGGGTGTTTGGGAGCAGCAAGGGGAAGCACGACGCTCTGCTGTGCTGAGGAGAGGATGGGAGCTGGGGATGAGGAGCATCACTGCTCCGGGATGCTGCCAGTGGGAAGAGGAGAGGGAGTGATTGCTGATCCCAAACCCATGTTGGGAAGCCAAGAGCGAAGAGAAGGCTGGGAAGGAGTGGTAGGCTATGCAAAAGGGAGATGGGGCACATGGGGAAGCTTCATGGGTTTGATGTGACCCGCTGGCTGCGTGGCAGCCAAGCTGAGCCGTGTTGAGCATCACTGTTGGGGCTGGAGGGCTCCTGGCTGTGACTCCTTGAGTGAAGCCCACGAATCCCCAAAAAAGGAGCAGGCAGCAGCTCTGGGATCTCGCAGGGTGAGGAGGAAGTCTATCAGAAACTACAGACGGTGGCTGGTTTGCATCTCCCTCTGGCTGGAAGCCAGCCGGGGTTGTGAGCCCACTGCAGCATCCCTCTGCCTCCCTGCCTCCATGGGGGGGGGCAGAAAAAGGCTGCTGGAGCAAGGTTCCACTTTGACCCTGTCCAAAAAGGCCTCGCTGTTATAAGGACAGAGTGACCTGGAGGCACCCAAAGCCTCCCGAATGGCTTAAAATAACGCTCACCACCACGAACCAAACTTGGACTCCAATCAATCCTTAACAAAAAATAGAAATCTCAGCCTGCGATAAAGGCAGAAGCGGTTCAAATCCCAGCCCTCCTCTCACCTCACGCAGACCCTGCCCCTCCTAAAGCAGCCGAAAGCGGAGCGAAGCCTCCGGGGACGGCGGTACCCGCCATCGATTTTTCATGGAAGGCGCCCAGAAAGGACGGTGATGGGCTGCGGGGCCGCAACCCCCCGACCACAGCAGCGGGCGCGGGGGAGCTGAGATGGATCCATGGGGAAAGGGTTGTTGCTTCGTCGTGGTTGTGGCTCTCGGAGCTGGGGCCAGGCTGGGAAAAGCAAGCGGAAGCCATCAAGGTAAAGGAGAGGAAGCGAGGAAGAAGAAGAAGAAGAAGGGCCGAAGGAGTCGAGTGAAGCAGCCATTAGGAAAGTGCTGATGCAGAGGTTCACTTGTGTCTACGGGCAGAGTTGGAGTAGTTGCTGTTCACGGACAAAGGCAGTAGGAGGGAGTGGAGCTTTGTAGAAGCTGGAGCCTGTCTCACTGGGTGTCTGTGTTTCATTCCCTGTCAAAAGGCTGGGAGCTGGAGAGAGGAGAAGGGAGGGGTGGTGGTGGTGGTGGTGGAGGGGGGGGGAAAGCAGGGAAGCGGCGAGCTGCAGCGCTCGCTCAGGATCAGATAGCAGGGAAACCAATAGCAGCGAGAAAGGAGGCAGGAAAAAAAACCGGCAGAAGAAAACCAACCCACATCAACCAACCAACCCACCCACCCTGCACGCTGGGGCTGAACCAGGCAGGTCCCTGCCAACTCCACAGCACGCAGCAAGCAGGGAAGAAGTCCACCCTCCCCGGGCAGGAGCGGAGTTGAGCCCGAGAGGATATTTGATGACACTTTGGCGACGATGGGTCCCCCAGCATCTTCCAGAGCCCGTTTGTGGCTGAAGGCTCTGAAAGCGCAGAGGGAGTTTGAAGCGAAATTCACCTGAGTCTGGATCTTTTGCTCGCTGGGATTTATCTGTTTTTATTCTTTATTTCCTCCGGGGGGTGGCAGGGGGAAACCAAACCAAGAAAAACAAACGTGTGGGGTTTATTTTTTTATTCAGAATCTCCCCCTTTTACATTTTTTTTTTTTTATTTAATTTTTGTTTTTCCCTTTTGGAAGAAGATACGTTTATTATTTCCACCCCCCCCCACCGCCCCCCCCACTACCAGTGGTTGGAATGGAGGGGTTGGGTCTGTGCCTAAGAAGCAGCAGCCGAACGTCGGTCCTGGAAGAAACCCGAGTGGATCTGGGGTCCCCCGCCAGCTAACTCTCCAGGACCTGCAGCCCCACGGCCGGGGCGGGGGGGCACGGCTGGATGCAGTGAGAGGTAAGTGACAAGCTCCAAGCGCCTGCCTGCCACAGAGCCACTGCTCCTCCAGCTCCGTCTCCATCCCAAGTCAGAGGCAAAAACAGCAGTCTCATAGTGAGTCAATCACTTCCACCTATTGCAGCCCTAATGGGGAAATCAGACGGGGGAAGTTTCGCACTCCGTCACCCCTGTACCCAAAATGCCAGTTTGGGGATGGGGAAAGAAGGGGTGGATTTTACCAAGCTGACCACTATCACCATACCGATACCACGGGCCCCCTCCCTCCCTGCCTACCCAAAGGGTTTGCTGTTGGCTTTTTGGGAGCGCCAGTGCCGCGCTTGCCTCCGCTCGCTTCCCACATCCAGCTGGCTTTCCCAAGCCAAAACTTTTGCACACTGCCTGGTTTCGGGAATGCCCATGGCAGGGTAATGCCCCCGGTGTACGTGCCCGCATCCGTGTGCCCGCGCGTGTGCGATGCGCGCTCGCGTGACCCTCTTCTTCCTGGCTAACCTGGACCATCGCTGGGGTGAGCTGATGTGAGAGCAGAGGGGTTTGTGTCTGTGTGCTTCGAAGGCAAACTGCAAACCGCAAGGAAGGAAGCTGAGGGGAGGGGGGGAAGGCAAAGGGAGCTGACAACGACAGCAGCAGCAGCAGCATAAATTGCATCACTGTAATAGTATCGGCGCGGAGCACGAGCCAGGCTAGTAAAATGGTCCACAAAATGAGCTGTACTCAAGTGCCTCCAGTTAGCAGCACCTGCACACGCCTTCTCTGGGTGCTGGAGGCTATCTGTATTTTTAGCAGCCTCTCTTAATTATAGAGCAAAGAGTGTTCGAGGAAGGGGGAATGGTGTGTATTTAGCAGCATCCCTTCCCAGGCGCGTCTGCACTGAATATGAGCACAAAATCACCAAAACAAGGGTTTTGTTTTTTCCTTCTCTCCCCCTTCCTGCACTTGTGGTATAGAACCACCTGTTTAGCAGCGGTGTCGGCAAACGAGGGCTGGGTTTTCTCCTTTCCCATTCTTAGAAAGCGTGGCGAAGACTTTGCTTGCATGTGGGAAGGATGGGAAGCGGTCCCGTTGCACCCCGAATCAACCCTGGCCTCCTAGGGGCTGTGAGACATCCCTGCTCCCAGCCCGGGGGTGACACTGGTGGGGATGGGGACTCTCATGCCAGGTCTTCCCAGGGCTGTTTTACAGCTCATTGCAAAGAAAACCAAGCCCAAAGCCTGCAACAACTCATTTTGCTTCTATAAAGCTCCTTCTCCTCATCCCCTTCTCCACCAAACTTTCCAGGGCCTTTTGTTCCGAACAGGAGGTGAAATTCCCTTTGTGTGAGCACAAAGCAATGGAGCTATCAGAAAATAATGAAAACAAGGCTAAAAAACCCCATAATATAATAGTGATAAATTCCTTGCCTGCTCTTTTCAGGCCTGGAATAACAGTGAGTGTTCCATCTGTGCCGGATAAGCACTGGCTTTACTGGGGGAGGCACCTTAAAGGCTGCTTTATTTCTTCCTTCTGATTTATAGGCTTTAAAATCCACTATTACCTCTGCTGCTCTTTACCTGAAAGAGTTGCTTTATCTATGGCGTCAAAGTGGGTTTTTTTCCGAGCCCTGAGATGACCCCAGGGAATATGGCAAATCCCGTGGGATCAGTCGGGGTGGGATGGCAGCGTTCCCCCTGGTGTGGTGTTTTGCGGGCATAGCTATGGCTTGTGGGTTCCCGCATCTCCCCACCATCCATCCGAGGCTGTGGGAGCATCTTCCCTGGCAGTGTGGTGGGAATGGTTCTCCAATACGGATAAACTTCGGAGGAGCTGTCGAGGGAACTGCACCATGAGCTAAAACCAGGCATTTCCTTCCCAGTTGGGGTCTGGGTTTGGAGTGTGAATGTGACTGGGAGCTTCACCCAACCTCTGTGCAGGTAGAGGAGAGGGCAGCGTGGCACTTGGGAGGATGCTGTCTCTAGAAGGAGCGGGAGCGCCGCCGCTATGAGGGATGGATCCATCCCCTTCTCCTGTCGCCACTCGGGATGTGGCACACGGAGCAGGCACCTTATGTAAGCAGTGATGGCAGCGCTGTGCCCTGGCCATGCTCTGCCATAATGCTCCACCACTGCCAGCCCCTATGGCCTTGGCTGCCTCCCTTAACCCCTGTTTTGGGGGTGCCCTCTGGGTGCAGGAGCTGTTGCATCACTGGGGGGCCCATAATCCTTGCTATTGACCGGGGGTACCAGGGCAGTGAATGGCTCCAAGCCATTGTCTGTGCTTTCTGCTTAGTTCATGGTTGCATCTTTACGGCACTGGCTCCATGGTCTCCGGGCCTGGGGAGGTGCTCTTGGGGCTTAAGCCCCTTTATTAGGCTCTTCTGCACCCTTTGGTTAAGGTCCAGCCCTGTTTGGGTTTGACAGCGCAGGGCAAGGCTGCTTGTGGGTGAGAAGGGAGAAACCACCCTGGTTTGCCCCCATTCCTGGTGCTGCTGCCTCGCTGCAGGAGCTGGGAGCTGTCCTCTGAGCATGGGGAGATGGGCTGGGGAAGGACCTGTGTCCCTGTCCCTCTGTCCCCACTGCATGGCCTCAGTGCCCATCCATCCAGCTGCCCTGCTCCCAGTGTGTCTGGAATGGAAGGAAGGAAGGGAGGGAAAAATGAGCATCAAGGGAGCCCCTGCATCCCGGCGAGCAGGACACGGCCCCACTCCAGCTCTAAGTTGGGGTGGGAGGGTGGTGGGTGCCTGATGTTGCTCCCCACAGCTCTGTTTGACTGTGGGTCTGTCACCTCACTGGGACATGCCCCTCTTTTCCCATTCCTGGCTTATTCCCTTGTCCTAGCTCGGTCCTTCAGTGCCAGCTTTGATGCTTTGGTCCCAGCTCCTGATCCCCAGCTCGCTCCCTCGTTCCCAGCTTGCAGCGAGGCAGGAGTGCCGGTGGGCGATGGTTTTCTTGCAAAGCTCTTTCAGATTCCCCCGTTGGACTTTTGAAGCATCTGGTATCACTATCGCAGCGTCATTATGAATTAATTAACATTAATTTCCTGTTCTGGTATCTCCTATTGCTGGGAGCCTTTGCCTGGGCTTTCTTCCCTTCTCCCCACCTCCAAAAAGGAATGGCCAGATCCAGACCATGCCTGGCAGAAGGCCAGGGAGAAGCCACATGGTTGGGGGGCCATGGGCTCCCTATCCCTGTCCTGTACCATAGCAGGGAATGCTGCTGGGTCTCTGCCGGTCCATGAGCCAGGGTAGGGCTTGGTCCTGGGGGAGCCCTGGTGCTGCCAGCACTGCCTGCCCGCTCCCTGTGCTTCCAGGATGGATGATGCCCGTTGTGCCATCCCTCACCTCTGCTTCCCTGCAAGGCAGGTGATGCTGGGGCTATCCCGCAGGGGCAGGATCTCCCCTTTAGCTCTGGGAAGCCCTGATCCTGGTTCCCCAGAGTGCACTGGAAGCAATAGGGATGCTCTCCTCAGGGATGCTGCCCAAGGGTTGTTAACACCAAGGATGCTGTTCCCCAGGCAGCACTGGAAGCAATAGGGATGCTCTCCTCAGGGGTGCTGTCCCAGGGTTGTTAACACCATGGGTGCTGTTCCCAAGGCATTCTGATCCTAAGGAAGCTGACCACAGGGGTGCTGTCCCAGGGATGCTAATGCCAAGGATGCTGACCCCAGGAAGGCTGTCTCTAGGTTTGCTGACCCTCTCGAGACGCAGGGATGGGGAATACACACAGCAGGCTGGGAGGGCGGCCGGGATCCTTTTCCCTGGCTGCATTCATCCTGCTCCATGAGTCACTCTGAGGGAGGCGCAACCCAGGAATCACAGCCTGGCCACCCAGCTCCATCCCTCAGCTCTCACCTACATGGGTGAGCCCCGGTAAAGTTGGGGCTGAGGGATCCAGAGGACTCAGTGGGATGGGAGCGCATCACCCGTTGCCCCCCAGCTGCATCCCACCCCATCTCCAGCCCCACAGCTACACAGCCCCCAGCACACACAGCACACACCCCCCCCCCCCCCACTGCTGCCCCCCTGCCACCACCGTGTGCCCCTCATCAGGGCCACCCTGATCCCCTTTGCACCCCTTGCAGTGTGAGCTGAGTTAACGGGGGGTCCCCCCCTTTGCTCCATGACCCCGGGGCCGGGCTGGGGTAAGGGGGGGCAGCCCCCCAGATGGGGTGGGGGGTAACCCCGGTGTCCTACATCCCTGGAGCCCGGCTGGGGCTTACATAACGGCGGTGCTGCAGTGTGCTCTGCTCAGCGCCAGTGCCACCGGCAGAGCTGCAGCGCGGAGCATCTCCCTGGATAGCTGCTTTTTGGGGAGAGGAGGGAGGGACGGAGGCACTTGAGGAGCAGGAGAGCCCCAGGGGATGGCTGGGCACTAGCGATGTGGCCTCTGCACCCAAGCCTGTCTGCCCAGTGACCTTGGGAGCCAGAGCTCCCCCCCCCCCGGATGGTAGTACCTGGTGGAAGGAGGTGATGGGGAGGAGGAGGGCAGAACGAGCCCTGCTCTGGTGTTAAGGGTGGGATCAGGGTATAGACCCTGTTGGCATCCCCTGCCAGCCGTGTTCCCATCTCTGCCCTGCTCAAAGAGCATAGCCCTGCTGTGCAGGTGGGGAAACTGAGGCAGGAGGCTGTGGTCTCCTGGGGGAACAGCTACCAGGGTTGCTCTGGATGGGGAGGAGGAGATGGGACATTACCAGCCTCTTGGATACCCTTGAGCTGGATGAGCACTGGTCCAGCTTTAGCTCTGCCCTCAATGTCCCTGCTTGGGGCTGGCATGTAGGGGCAGGGACCTGCTGATGCTCAGTGCAGCATCCTCGCAGGGAGATGCTGTATGTGCTGTGGACCGGTGATATGGGGTAGGGGGGACAGCAGGCAGGCCACAGCATCCTTTGAGCCTCTGGCTTGGGTACCCAGAGAGGAACAAGGTGCCAGAGCAGGCAGCATGAAAGAGAGACCTTATTGCCAGGTTGTGCAGAGGCCGTGGTCTGGTGGGGGTCTGTGTGATCGATGCCAAATGCTGGGGTGCATCTGGAGCTGCCTCAGTGCCGGCAACCACTGGGAGAACTGAGGTTAATGGGTGGGCTCAGGCTGGTACTCACTGAGGGTCCCGCTCCATCCAAAATGTCATCACAGCTGCACTCTGACATGGCTCGATGGATGCAGGAGGAGGATTTGGGCCCCAGCTCTGTCCCAGTTGTCACCTAATGCTATGGGCACCTGGCAGGTCTCTGTCCCATCCTGAGGATGCTGGGTCACCCGGTGCTGCACCTCCATGGTGCCTCATGGCCAGTGCCAAGGTGGCCTCAAGTAGGGGCAGATGCCACCACCCCTGGGTGCTGCCTGCTTGACAGGGCAGTGTGGACATAGAATCATGGAATCAGCCAGGTTGGAAAAGGCCTTTAAGATCACTGAGTCTAAGCATTACCCCAGCACTGCCTAACCCATCACTGTGGGAATACCTGGTATGATCCCGGTGTGAATATGGTGTTACCCAGCAGTGAGAGCCAGGACTCCCAAGATCCCCATCCTCCCTGTCCCATTCTGCCCATCGCTCCCTGGTGTTCTTCCCGGGCCCCAGTGCCGTGGATCCCAGCTTCCCACTGGTTCCCCATCCAGCCCTGTCATCTATGGTGCATGGCACAGGGACCCTGCACCCCGAAGCCGGGGGGGGGAACCAAGGACGCCGGTGAGCTCATCCCTGCTGCCCGGGCTGGGAAAATCATTGCATTGTGCTCACTGCAAGAGGCTCAAAGGCCTTTGGTTCCCTTTTAGGACATGGTTGGAAAGGAGCCACTGG